TCTCTACCACTCTTATCTGTCTTTTGTTCTACCCTCTCTCTCTGCCTCTAATCGACCGCCCCCCTCTTCGCTCTTTCTCTTCTGGCGTTTTCCCTCTTCCTTCGCCCCCCCCCCTTCCTCCCACTCTCCCTCGTTCTCCCCCCCTCCTCTTTTTGCAGGGCCCACACCACTTCCAATGGCGGGCACATGTATGCCCACGAAGGATTGTCCGCCCGCTCAGGTTTGCCCGCCTGTCTAAGCCCGCCCCCCCCCGCAAAGAGACATAATCCCCCCATAGGGGGTGTGATCGAAAACAAAAAGGGCGGGTATCGAGGGTGTGGGGAACTCGTTTTGAGTGACACACGGGCAAGTGAAATCGAACAGTCTTAGAATGATTGTTGCTGCTGTTGTTACTGTTGTTGCTGTTGTTGCTGTTGTTGTTGTTGTTGTTGTTGTTGTTGTTGTTGTTGTTGTTGTCGTCGTTGTTGTTGTTGTTGTCGTTGTTGTTGTTGTTGTTGTTGTTGTTGTTGTTGAGCTCCCACTTCAGAAGGCAACTTATTGTTGTTCCCCCCCCCTCACCGGTGCATACTGTTTTTCTCAATCGACTTGCGCCCCTCGGCGCTCGCATCCTGTTTTTTGTCAGGGAACGTCTTCAGGTTCAAACTGTGCCCCTGGCCCCGGGGTTGCAACAACAACGGCTCCCGCCTGAGATTTCTTTTTTAATTTACTCAGGACCCCCGCTCCTGAGCTTCCTCACAATTTACTCAGGATCGGTGCTCCCGCTTGTGATTTCCTTGCAATTTAGTCAGGACCCCCGCTCCCATCTGAGACTTCCTCACCAGTTACTCAGGAAAGGCGCTTCCGCTTGAGACTTCCTCGCAATTGAAACAAGACTGCCTCGCAATTTAATCAAGACCCCCGCTCCCGCCAGAGAACCCTTCACATTTGACTTAGGAATTGCGCTGTCGCCTGTGATTCCTTCCATGCATTGTATTCGGACATCGCACCTTCGACGCTCAGGAAACACGCTGCGCCAAGGACGCCGTCACAATTTACTTGGGAATCGCGTTCTCGCCATATTCAGGCATCCCGCTTGAATGTCCCACCCGCCCGACCCGCCCGTCAGGGGATCGCCCGCCCGTCGTGGGCTCCCGCCCGAGACTTCCTTCAGGCACGGCGCTTTCGCCTAAGACTTCCTCGAACGTTCACGTTCGTACCTTCCTGCTCCTCCCTCTCCCTCCTCCCTTCTCTCTCCCCCCTCTCTTCCCTCATCCTTCTGCCTCTCTGCCCTATCCCCTCTCCCTCTTCTCCCTCCTCCCTTCACCCTCCCCTCTCCTGCCTCCTCCCTCTTTCTTTCTTTCTTTCTTTCTCTCTCTCTCTCTCTCTCCCCTCTCTCTCTCTCTCTTTCTCTACCTCTGTTATCTGTCTTTCTCTCTCTCTCTCTCTTTCTCCCTTTGCCTCTAATCAGTCGCCCCCTCTTCGCTCCTTCTCTTCTGGCGTTTTCCCTCTTCGTTCGTCCCTCCCCCTCCCGTCCTCCCACTCTCCCTCGTTCTCACCCTCTTCTTTTTGCAGGGCCCACACCACTTCCAATTGCGGGCACATGTACGCCCACGAAGGATTGTCCACCCATTCAGGTTTGCCCGCCTGTCTAAGCCCGTCGCCCCCCGCAAAGAGACATAATCCCCCCTAAAGGGGGTGTGACCGAAAACAAAAAGGGCGGGTATCGAGGGTGTGGGGAACTCGTTTTGAATGACACACAGGCAAGTAAAATCGAACAGTCTTAGATTGTTTGTTGTTGTTGCTGTTGTTGTTGTTGTTGGTGTTGTTGTCGTTGTTGTGTTGGTTGTTGTTGTTGTCGTTGTGGTTGTCGTTGTCGTTGTCGTTGTCGTTGTCGTTGTCGTTGTCGTTGTCGTTGTTGTTGTTGTCGTTGTTGTTGTTGTTGTTGTTGTTGTTGTTGTTGTTGTTGTTGTTGTTGTTGTTGAACACTTAATTTCTGAAGAATAATTATTGTTGATCCCCCCCGCTTGTGCATACTGCTTTTTCTCAATCGAACTGTGCCCCTCGACGCTCGCACCTTGGTTTTTGACAGGGAAAGTCATCCTGCTCAAACTGGGCCCTTGGCCCCCGGGTTACAACAACAACGGCTCCCGCTTTAGATTTCTTTACAATTTAGCCAGGACCCCCGCTCCCGCCCGAGACTTCCTCGCAGTTTAGTCAGGAATCGCGCTCTCGTGTGGGACTTCCTTACAATTTATAGAGGAATCGCTCTCCCGGCGCTCTGGAGTCGCGCTCTGACTGGAGACTTGCTTGCAACTTACTGAAGAATGGCCTTGCGTTAGAATTTCCTGCAATTTGCCCAAGCGCCGCGCTCCCGACACCCAGGCACCCAGGAGTCGCGCCCGTTGTGGCCCCATGTGCATGCCCTTCGTGGGCCCGCTGTTGCCATTTGTGTCCCCCTCATTGTCCTACGTGGCCCAGTTGCTACCCTCAGTGGCCCCATAGTTGCCTTCTGTGGCCCCGCATTGTCTGCACTTCGTGGCCCCCGCTCGTTCGCGCTCTTCGTGGCCCCATACGCATTCCCTTCGTGTCCCCGCTGTCGCCCTTCGTGGCCTACTTCGTGCCCTTCGTGGCCCTGCTGTCCTTCTCTCTCGCTCTCGCTTTCGCTCGTCGTCGCCGTCGTCGTCGCCGTCGTCTTCGACGTCGTCGTCGTCGTCGTCGTCGTCGTCGCCGTCGTCGTCGTCGTCGTCGTCGTCGTCGTCGTCGTCGTCGTGGTCGGTCCCCTGTCCGTCCCTCTTGGTGTCGGGTCGACGGTCCGCGGCCGCCCCGCCGATCAGCGCTGCCGTTGGCCAGGCCGACGGTCCGCGGCCGCCCCGCCGCTTGCCGGGGCCCGGCCTGCAGGGAAGAAAGGTATACCCCCCAAAAGGGGTTCGATCGAAGACGAACAGGGCGGGTATCGAGGGTATGGGAAACACGCGCTATTGGACACTCGCGCATATAAGGGCGAACGGTCTTGAAATTCACATTATTGTTATTATTATTATGATTCTTCTTCTTCTTCTTCTTATTATTATTCTTACTATTATTATTATTACTATTATTATTATTATTGTTGTATTGTTGATCCCTCCCCCACCGGTGCACATGGGTTTTTTTCGATTGAAGTGCCACCCCCGGGGCTCGCACTTTGTTTTTTCTCAAGGAAAGTCTTCCTGCTCAAACTGTGCCCCTGCCCCCCGGGCTACAACAACAACGGCTCCCGCTTGAGACTTCCTCGATTTTTACTCAGGACCCCCGCTCCCGCCTGAGACTTCCGCGCAACTTACTCAGGAAAGGCGCTCCCGTCTGAGACTTCCTCGCAATGTAATCAAGACCCCCGCTCCCGCCTGAGACTTCCGTGCAATTTACGTGGGAACGGCGCTCCCGCTTGAGACTTCTTCGAATTTTACTCAGGACCCCCGCTCCTGCCTGACATTTCCGCGCAATTGACTCAGGAACGGCGCTTCCGCCTGAGACTTCCTCGCAATTTAGTGAGGACCCCCGCTCCCGCCTGAGACTTCCGTGCAATTTGCTCAGGAACGGCGCTCCCGCTTGAGACTTCCTTGCAACTTAGTCAGGGCCACCGCTTCCGCTTGAGATTTCTTTGCAATATACTCAGGACTGCGCTCTCGCGTGCGACGTCCTCACAAATTATTATGGAATTGCGTTTCGGCGCTCAGGAATCACGCGCGCGCCAAGGACGCCTTCACAACGTGGTATCTTCCCTCTTCCTTCGTCCTTCCCCCTCCCCTTCCTCCCACTCTCCCTCGTTCTTCCCCTCCTCCTCTTGCAGGGCCCGCGCCAATTCCAATGGCGGGCAGAGAGATGTACGCCCCCGAAGGATTGTCCGCCCGTTCCGGTTTGCCCGTACGTCTAAGCCCGCCGGCCCCAGCAAAGAGAAATAATCCCCCCGAAAGGGGTGTGATCGAAGACGAAGAGGGCGGGTATCGAGGGTGTAGGGTATACGTGTTGAATGACTCGCGGGCAAGTAAGAGCGTACAGCCTTAAAATGGTGGTTGTTGTTGTTGTTGTCGTCGTTGTTGTCGTTGTCGTTGTCGTTGTTCTTGTTGTCGGATTTTATTTTTCGGGAATCACTATTGTTGATCTCTGGAACGGTTCCGCGCGCTTTCGCCTTGACGCCGGGTGCAATTCCTGTGAAAGCGAGGCTCCCGCTCGAACGCGGGCTTGATTCTATATGTGTGTCCTTGGGGGCCCGGCTACAACGACAACGGCTCCCGCTTTATACGTCTTCACAATTTACCCCGAGACACCCTGGCCAGAAAGGGCCCCCGAACTCAGGAAGGGCGCTCTCGCTCGTGACTTCCTCGCAATTCAGTCAAGCTGGCGGAGGCCCAGCGACGACGACGAGGGCTCCTGCCCGATACTTTCTCGCGATTTACTCCGAGAGCCCCTGCCCAGGAAGGCCCTCGAACTCAGGAGCGGCGCCCTCGCTCGAGACCGTCGTGCGATTCATTCGAATTGTTGGAGGCCCAGCTGCGATACTTCCTCAAAATATACTCGCAGAGGCCCTTGTCAGAGAGGCCCCCGAACTCAAGAGTGGCGCTCTCGATTGAGATGTTCTCGTAATCCAAGCGAGTTGGTGAAGGCCCAGACACGGCGACAAGGGTTCTCGTTCGATATTTCTCAATCTGTATTCCGAGAGCCCCAGGCTAGAGAGGCCCCCGAACTCAGGAACGGCGCTCTCGTTCGAGAGTTTCTGGCAGTTTACTCAGTGGCTGACAAGGAAGATATTCCCGCCGAAAGGGGGTGCGATCGAAGACGAAGTGGGCGGGTATCGAGGGTTGGGGTATATTGGATGCGCGACACGCGTGCCAGTAAGAGCGAACAGTCTTAAACTGATTGTTGTCGTCGTCCCTGTCGTCGTCGTCTATGTCGTCGTCTATATCGTCGTCTATGTCGTCGTCGTCGTCGCCGTCGTCGTCGTCGTCGTCGTCGTCGTCTTGGTCTTCGTCTGGCCGGCCAAGGACGAGACGTGCGGGCAGGCCGTCAGCTCGTTCGCCCCCTCGGACCGGGGCGCGCAGGAGCGGCCCGTCTGCCGCACCCCAGGCGCAGCCCCGCGCCGCTTGGCTGGTCCGCGTGCGCTCGTCGTTCGGCGGCGAGCCCGGGGGGGAAGTGAGAAGGGCGGGGCCGTCTGAGAGGTTTTCTGAGCCTTCCCCGAGGGCACAGCAAGCCTCTCAGAAGGCCCGAGGGCTTCGGGAGCTCCGCCGCCTTCTGAGAATGTCGTCTCCTTCCCATGTCCCCCCCTCGCTCGCCGCCGAGTCGTGACTGTCGTCGTGCTGGTGGTCGGCGCTCGTCGGAGGGGGTCGCTCGAGGAGGACAAGGGTACCGACATCGCTACCACTGCGTAGTTTGTGGTTGCTTTTTGGGCCTCCTGCTGTGGGGCCCTCGTCGCCACGGCTGGATTCGCCTTGAAGTTCTGGTCAGAACGCGCCCCAGGATAGGTCTGGGAAGAGAGGGTACCGGTATCTTTTGGTTTCCCCATGGTGGTCGGCGGTCGTCGGCAGTGGGTGCCGTCGTCGCTGTCGTGGTTATGTTGGTAGTGGTGGTGTTAGTCGTCGTCGTCGGCTTTTCGGTCGTCGTGGTCATTCGCCGCCTTGCGCGACCCTCTCCAGGGGCCTGGCGTGCCGTGGATGCCACGGGAGGGCGGAGGACGATGAGGAGGAAGGGTCCCTGCCTCATCCTCATTCCTCCTCCCCTTCCGTCTGCCCCCCGGCCCCGTTTGTCTCCATCCTCCCATCTCGATCTCCCTCCTCGGTCCTCCCCCTCTGCCCCCTGTCCCCTCCACGTCTTCCTGAAGGAGTTGGGGGAGGACTAGTGCGAGAAAGAAGAATTCATCGAATATGATAGCGACGACGACAAGGAGGATGAGGAGGGGGGGAGGAGGAGGAGGAGGAGGAGGAGGAGGAGGAGGAGGAGGAGGAGGAGGAGGAGGAGGAGGACGAGGACGACTTCGTTGCCGTCGGTCTGTTGTCTTCGTCGTCGTCGTTGTCGTCGTCGTCGTCGCCGCCGCCGCCGCCGCAGTCGTCGTCTATGTCGTCGCCTATGTCGTCGTCTACGTCTACGTCGTCGTCGTCGTCGTCGTCGTCGTCGTCGTCGTCGTCGTCGTCGTCGTCTACGTCGTCGTCTACGTCGTCGTCTATGCCGTCGTCTATGTCGTCGTCTATGTCGTCGTCTATGTTGCCGCCGTCTATGTCGTCGTCGTCTATGTCTATGTCATCGTCTATGTCGTCGTCGTCTATGTCTATGTCTATGTCTATGTCTATGTCTATGTCTATGTCGTCGTCGTCGTCGTCGTCGTCAGGCCGTAGCTTGAGATCGACGCCCGCTGCGTCTGCCCCTTCCTCTTCTTGCTCCTGCCTCGGTGAGCTGGAGGGGAGGTGGAGAATGGGGTGCTTTGATAGGCTCTAGGAAGGCGGGAAGCGCTCCTCGCAGCGCCCGTCATGAGACGGGGCGCCTAAGCCACAGAGGCTAATCACGGAGGGGGCCTGGAGAGGGCACCAGGATGGGGGCCTCGAAGTGGGCGGGGGACAGCGACCCAAACTCCAGCGTGCTTGGCCTCTCCTCAGCCCCAACCCCGGCTCCCCCCCCTTCCTCCTCCACCCGGAGGCGTCGTCGTCGTCTATGCCTATGTCTATGCCTATGCCTATGCCTATGCCTATGCCTATGCCTATGCCTATGCCTATGCCTATGCCCATGCCTATGCCTATGCCTATGCCTATGCCTATGCCTATGCCTATGCCTATGCCTATGCCTATGCCTATGTCGTCGTCAGCGTCTATGTCGTCGTCTATGTCATCTATGTCGTCGTCATCATCTTCGTCGTCGTCGTCGTCGTCGTCGTCGTCGTCTTTGTGGTGGCCGCCGAGGGCGGCCGCTGGTCGGAGGCGGCGGCGTTCCCGCGCGCGCGCACGCAGGGTGCAGCCGGCTGGTCGCCCCCGGCAAGCAGGCGAGCGGTCGGCCGTGGGCCAACTGCTGCAGGTCTGCGGCTGCCTGCGACCCCCCCCTTCTCCGCCACCTCCCCTTCCTCCCCCTCCTCCCCTTCTCCACCCATTTCTCTTCTCTACTCTCTGCTCTCCCCCTCCTCCTGCTCCTCCTTCCCCTCCTGGCTCGAGCCGCTCTCGCTCAGGCAGGCCGCAGCGGCCACTGCTTTGGGCCCCCGCCTCGCCTGGTCCGCCCCAGGCGCGAGGCAGGAGCGCGGCATGAAGTTGGAGTGGCAGTGTGCCGCTCACCGCGAGGCCCTCGCCCCATCGCGCAGCTGGCGCAGGCGAGTGCGCGCGCGCACAACGCGCGCTCGCCACATTCAGCAGGCGAGCTGGCGCCCGGCCGAGTTCCTGGCGCTCGGTGCTGCTGCGCGTGGATGCCCAGTACTGCACGGTGCTGGCCGCGCCGGGGCATGATATGGGCGCCTTCCCAGAGCCGCCCGAGGTCTTCGCCCTCGCAGAGCAGCACGCCTTCGACGAGTACAGCACTTCCAAGGAGCAGCACGCTTTCGAGGAGCAGCTCCAGGCCTTCGAGGAGCCGCGCGCCTCAGAGGAGCAGCGGCACGCCTTCGAGGAGCAGCATGGCGTCAAAGAGCAGCACGCCTTCGAGGTGTTAATGCCCTCGACGAGCAGCACACCTTCGGGGAGCAGCAGGGCACCCTCGAGGAGCAGCACGCCTTCAAGGAGGAGAGGCGGCAAACCTTCGAGGAGCAGCACACTCTCGATGAGCCGCAGAAGGCTTTCGAGGAGCAGCGTGCCTTCGAGGAACAGTACGCCGCCGAGAAGAAGCAGGCAGCTTCCGAGGAACAGCAGGCCTTCGAGGCCCCTGAGGAGCAGAAGCACAACTTCGAGAGGGAGCATCGCGCCTTCGTGGAGCAACGCGCCTTCGAGGAGCAGCAGCACACCCTCGCCGAGAAACGCACCGCCTTCGAGAAACACAGCGCCTCCGAGATCTAGAACTCGGCCAAGGTGTACGACGAGGCCCCCAAGCAGCACCCAGAGCTCGTCTGTGAGGATAATCAGAACGCTTTCGAGAAACAAGGCGCCCCCGGGGCTGGAGGCACGAGTCGTACTGCGCTGCCTGCGGCCGTCTCCGATTCCCGATAGAGTACCTCGCTGAGAAAGATTGGCGCCGCCCCTTCAGCGCCGACGGCGACAATGCAGAGACAGAGCAATCATTCCCGAAACCAATAGCTGGTGACAGCGGCACAATGGTTATATTGAGAGCGGTTCACTGTACGTTGGTTCGCGTAGATTTCCGCACCGTGCAGGTCCGCCCACTATACCAGAGCAGATTTCATCGATCAAGCCAGAAGCTAAGTGGGCATCCTGGCAACAGAGGTTGAGTGCAGACTCTCTGCGATATGTCGTTCGCGTGCGAGAGCCTTTTGAGTTGCTTCCCTGCGCTGCGCAGCGAGGAACCTATCATGTGCTCGTCTGGGAGGGCGAACCTGCGGTCTGGTTTCCCCTCCTGGGTCCCCAAGTGCGCGCTGAGTAATGCCGCAGGTCTCAGAAGGCGTTTCCCTGCGACGGACCTCCGAGGCCGCATGGCGCTACGGTGCACCGCGCCTCTGGCTTTGCGACTCGATGCCAGTTTGGCCTAGTTCCCCCCATCAGCCGAACGGTTGTCCTCCTGTTCCTCTTCTTTCTCCTCTCCTCCCTCCTCCTATTCCTCTTCTCCCCCCTCTCATTGCTCCCCTCTCCTGTCTTTTCTCGTCTCCCTTCCCCTCCCTCCCTCCCCATCCCCTCCTTACCTCCCTCCTCCTCCTCCTCCGCCCCTCTTCCTCCTCTTCTCCAATCCTCCGCCTCCCGTCCCTCTTGCTTGTCTCCGTCCCACTTGTCGCACCACCAGACGTATCGACGTATCGACAGGGCGGGCTGGGCGTTTCGCCTGAGATTTTCTCACCGCTTGCGGATTGAGTGTTAAAATTTTCCAATCGTTGCAGGGATGGAGGGCGAGCCATTTTTCAAAATGGAGTCTTCGCATGGGTGCCGCCCACACTCGCCATATAATCACATCAGTTACATTGATAGAGGGCGAGTCGTTGTCAATATGGGACCGCCATGGCGCTGCGCACACACGTGTAGAAGCAAAAACAGCAAGTACTCACCCCGATGGAGGGCAGATCGTCGTCAATTGAAGTTCTCGACTCGGCGCCGCGCGCAGTCGTTTGAAAAGTCACGCGGATGGAGGGCGGCTCTTTCAAACCGGAGCTCCCGCCAGGTGCTCTCCGATCCTGGGCCGGCCGATGGGGCGAGGGTTCGAGGGCCTCGCCAGGGGAAGTGTGACACCAGAGAAAAACCCCAACCAGTGGATGGTTCCCAGACATGATCGCGTCGTAAAGAAATCAGGACGGCGGGTTTTCGGCCGTTTTCGGCCTGGTGGGGCCCTCGGCGGGCCTCGGGACCGTCAAAAAACGACTCAGGATGAAAAACCGGTCCCAGGGAAAGGGTCGGGACTTCCAGGGACGCCGTCCTGAAAAAAATCAGGACGTCGCATGTCTGACGGGAACCCAGAACCCAGCACCGAAATCGACCCAGAACCAATCACCGGGAACCCGGGAACCCGGAACCGGGAACCTGGGAACCTTGTTTGCCACAAAAATCGGCGGGGAACTTTCGCCAAATCTTTCAACCTCCGCTAGGACCCTTTCAGTGCAAGCACTGATTGGGGAATTGGCTGGCAGCTCCAGGAGGGCTACCTCTTCTGCGCCCTTTTTGTGAAGGCCGGGCGCCCTCGGCCGTCTTCGCATGGATGCCCACGCGCTGGGGGCTGCTGCGGAGGTCAGACAGGGGGATCCGAGCCCTACCCTCGCCGACCAATGCTTCAGGCAGTTCGATTGGCGGCGGGGGTAGGGCTCGGAATTCGTCGAACACGTGGCGAAATCCGAACCCTGCCCCCCGCCTCCCATCGATTCAAGAGAATCGATGGTTGGTGGGGGCAGGGTTCTGATGTCGCCACCTAGTGGCCTGGTTGGCTCCTGGCCCCGCGCGCCGAGACTTCCCTTTGAATGCAGGGCTTGTTTGAGGCGCAAAACACATGAAGTAGGTTTAGAGTAGCTCCTGAAGTAGGTCGGCGAAGTAGGTCTGCAGCGCGCCTGGCAACAGTGGTCGGCGCAGGTAACTCGAAGGGAAAGGATGGCGAAACCGATTGCCGCGAGAAGCTTTCAGGGGAAAGGAATGCGACATTCATGTGCAAAAGTAGCTTTCCAGGGAAGGTTGTCGGGAACACAATATCAAAAGTAACTTGTCGGGATCGGGGCAGTAATGATATTTTCCAAACAAGCTTCTCGGGGAAATGCTGGAATGCCGCCGGCAAGGCGCGGCTTCTGGTAGCAAACCAGCCGAGTAATTCGTGAAGTGCGCTGTCTTGGGTTCTTTTGGATTCTTTCGGGGCTTATCTTCAGGCTTCCAAAGTCTTCGGAAACGCATGGGCCAAAAAGCCCAATTCATTCGTGTCTCGTACGATTTGGAAAGATTTCGGCTTCTCGGGGGTGTTATTGGGTGGCTCCGCGGCCACTTGGGGCGGTCTCGGAGCGGCATTTGGGTTTCTTGGGGCATGCGGGAAACAATGTTGATCCGTCTTGGGCTATCTTGAACCATCTGTGAGACCGCGTTGCATTCTGCGAGGTCATGCCAGCTCTATATTTGACCGTCTCGGGCGCTCCAGCGACCCGCCGCCCCCCACTGCAGACCCCGGAAGGAGGGGGGGGGGCGCATCCATCCCCGAAGGGAAGACTGGGGGTTGTTGGAACAGGAAGCACTCTAAACCACCTCCGTCCTGAGATCTGGGGGCATTGCGTTTCCCCCTTGGTCTGACCACAGCGGGAAGTGGGGCATGGAGGGCGGGGCGAGGGCCGCGGGCCCGAGCAAGGGAGAGGGGGGGGGGGCGAGAGGGAGGACCAGGAAGGTTAAGAAGGTCAGAAACGGGAGGGTGGGGGGCTCCAGAAGGCGGGTAGGGGGGAGGTGGCGTTTCCGGGGGGAGGAGGTGGAGGGAGGCTGGAATAATGAGGGCGCGTGAAAGAGGAGAGGAGGTGGAGAGAGGTGGGAGGAGGAAAGAGAAACGGAAGGGGAGTGGCGCCTCCGTCGGGCCGGGCCCGGAGGGGCCCCGGGGGGCGGGGGGCGGCCGCATCAGGTTTGGTTTCTGAAGAACCTAGGGCGCCAGGCGGCGGCCCCCTGCCCGCCAGCGGGGGGGCCGCCAAAAGGCCCTGTCCTGTCGCGGTACGTTCGCTTGTCGCCCGACAGCGAAATCGCGCTCGATCCTCGACCCTCGGGGGGGGGGGGAGACCGCCCCCTTTGGGGGGCTCCCGCCTGTCGGGGGCAACCTACAAGTGTTTTGGGTTTGTTCACCTTCTGGGGGTACTTCGCAGATTCCTTTTTTGGCGCGCCACCCCCGGGGGCGACTTCTGGGAAAGGCTCGGGCAAGCGTGCGCTGATGTTTCAAGGAACCGCGCCCCCAAAGTAGGTCGGAAAGTAGGTTTGCAGAATTTGTTTTCGCAAAGTAGGTTCCAAAGAAGGTCTCCAGACTCCCAGAGTAGGTTTTCGGTGGCGCAAAGTAGGTTTCGGAGGCCTCAAAGTAGGTTTAGGAGCCTCAAAGTAGGTTTCGGAGGCCTCAAAGTAGGTTTCAAACGTACTTCAAACCTACTTCAAACCTACGTCAAACCTACTTCAAACCTACTTCAAACCTACTTCAAACCAACTTCAAACCTACTTCAAACCTACTTCAAACCTATTTCAAACCTACTTCAATTTGTTTTCGGAAGCATGGAGGGTCAGGGATTGAAGGTAGGAGGAGGAGGAGGTGGAGGAGAATGCGGGGGAGGAAGAGGGGGAGGAAGAGGAATGGAGGAGGAGGAGGAGGTGGATGAGGAGAGCCGGGAGGAGGATGTGGAGGAGGAAGAAGAGGAGGAGGAGGAGGAGGATAGCCAGGTCGAGGAAACGGAGGGCCAGGAGGAAGGAGGAACAGGAGAGAGGAGTAGGAGGAGGAGGACCAAGAGGATCCGGAGGATCGGGCGGAGGATGAGGGGCGGATGAAGGGAGCACGAGGGAGAAAAGGTAGGAACAAGAGGGGGAATATGAGGAGGAGGAGGAGTAGGAGGAGGAGGAGGAGGAGGGGGGGCGGGGAGGGCGGGGAGGATCGGGGGCAGGAGGATGAGAACATGGATGCTGCGGCTGACGAGGGAGAGGATGGCGAGGCAAGGGGGGCGATGATGGGAAGCATGATGTGATTGATGACGAGCGGCGTTGGGGGGGGCAGAAGGACCTTGGGCGGGGCGGCCGTGATAACGAGGAGGAGCCATAGCGCGTCCGAACCCCGCCGGGACACGGTATGGGGGTTTTGCTGGGGTGGTGATTGTTGGTGGCGGCCCGGCTTGTCCAGGATTCCTTGAATTGCGTTGTTCGCCGTGCCAGTTGCTGGGGCTGCCCCAATTGATTTTTGGGCCACCCATTGTCGTGGCTGCTTTTCTGGCGGGTCGTGTTTGCGGAGGTCTTCTCCGCAGCCGCTCTCGTTAACTTTTTATGTTTAGTGCCCGAGGGTGCATCGCGCGAGAAGTGTCGCGGCCCCTGCCTGAAATGCAGCCCTGGCGCCCTTTCCATGGCAAACCTTCTTGGCGAGGTTGCCGCGGCAAGGGAGCGTCCCCGGGTGCACTTGCCAGGGCTACTTTGGCGGATTCGCTTCGCCAACTTAGCTGCCCGCGGCATTTGCGCCGACGCGCTTTGGCAAACCCAGTAACGGGAGGCTATATGCCCGATGGCACGTTTTCCCCGCGCGTTGCACCTTCTTCCTGGAACCTACTATGCTTGCGAACCTATCTCCCGAACCTACTTTTGAACCTATCTAAAACCTATATCGAAATGTTTTCTGCTCGCCATTGCCCCGGCGAAAGTAGAATGCACCCCGCACCCCAGAAAGGTTACCCTGGCACCTCGCACCTTTATGTGAACGCAGACGAGT